GGAGGGAGGAAAGTTTTGGGCCTCGGCCAAGTTGGATTATAACCAGGATAAAGTCATACGAGAGCAGAGAGTCGCAGATAAACACATTTAAATTCAGTCATATCTCATGGATTTAAGTTACTGAGAGACACATGCAGCCAAAGCACTGATAAACTTACTTAACCAGTGAGCATCCACAGATGTGAAGGTAGATCAGGGACTGAATCATCAGCAGAGCAGAGGGTTACTGGTGTCAGCATCGTAGTTGGTGTTACTGGTGCAAGCTTCAGAGCAGGTGGAGGCAGAAGCAGCATCAGCAGAACTCAGATCAGCATGTGAGCATCATCACATCACTTCTAGTCAGTTTCAGATCGAATGTGAGGTTTACAATAACTTCAATTTGGGTTTTAGTTTGTTTAAGATAATTAGTAATTTTACTCTCAACATCCATGTTTGTTTCTACACTTAACAGCAGTCATGTAGCTTCTCTCTGACTACCAGCCTTATTATTAAAGAGAAATCTCCTCCTAGCTTGTGTTCAGTTCATTGTATTTAGTGCTGCTGACTCTGCAGTGGGGCAGAAGCTCTCCGGTGTACAGAGCTCAGCTGCTGGAGCAGAGTGGACAGCTGCAGTGCTTTGGACTCGTCTGCAGTGTGATGACGAGTTTAAAAAACAAACCGCAGCAGAACAGATTTGATTATTTGCAATTCCTAACCAGGAGGAAAGACCATTAAAACAAGACTTGGTCCAGAAGGTGTCCTCCTAGAACCGTGTCTTTACTGTGTTTTAGTTTACCAGAAAGTTCCCTCCATGTGTCCTAAGTTTATGTTGGGCGAGTGTCAGATCTTCTGCCTCTGTGGTTCACTAGACTTCTGGGTGAAGCAGTAATGTGTTGTGTTTTACTAATTGTATATAAAGCAGTAAACTCCAGATATCAGACTTTAGAGAACACTGTGTCCCCGTCCTCACGCTTCACTCCCTCCACCTTTTCCTCCCATCACCCCCCCACCCTCACTGGTCCCACCCCACCCCTTCACTCTTCCTTATGCATCCACCCTCCCCGCCTCCCCGTCTCTCTTCCACTCCTCCACCCTTCCCTCCCCTCACCTCCCCCTCTAACAGCGATGTTTGCCATGGAGATCAACGTGCAGCACGACCCGCAGACCGGCGAGCAGCGCATCCTGTCGGCCAACCGCGTGAACCCGGTGGACGCGGCGTCGCGCGGCATCAAAGTCTACGACGATGGCAGAAAAGTGGTCTACGAGGTCAGTTCCTCCGGGGGCGTCTCCACCACCGCCGTGGAGAATGGTTGGAGCTCGGCGCAGGTGGACCAGCTGATCCAGCGAGCTGCCAGGCCCGGGGCTCGAGGAGGAGACGGCGGACAGAGTCAGGTGACGGTGACCCCGGCTTCCCCACAGGCCTACGTTTCCCCGGCAGATATCGACGATCTGTCCCCGCCCTCCTGCGCTCCGCCATCCATCCCTTCGAGCCCACCAGCCCAGGTCGTCCTCCAGAGGGAAACCCGGCTGGGCATGATGCCCCCTTCCTCTGCTCCGGTCACGACCCAACCGGGCTCCTCGGCCCACCCGGGCGACGAGGTCACCGCCCCACCCCAAGCCAGCACGGAGCACCCGGTCACCATGGTGTTCCTCGGCTACCAGGACGTTGAAGACATGAGCGAGAGCAGGCGGCTGCTCGGCTTCGACGGCGCCGTGAAGGCCGAGGTCGTCCTCATCGACGAAGACGACGAGAAATCGCTGCGGGAGAAGACGGTCACCGACATCTCCGTCATCGACGGCACAGCGGCCGACCTCGTGTCGGGGCGGCCGGCCACGTCTGAGGCCGCCAGCACGGAACTGTCATCTGACGGCCGTGAGCCCGACAGCGCCTCCTCGCCTCCTGCAAACCCAGAAGCCAACACGGCCCCCCCGCCCGGCCTCACCCCCTCCACAGGTACAGACAAGAGGAAACGCTGCGAGTGCTGCATCCTCATGTGACTGAATCTTCTCCCTCTTCCACCCTTTTATTATTCCCCTCTTCTCCTCTGTCTCTGGATGATTACTAACAGAAGCCCTGCCTTCCTCCTCCTCCTCCTCTGGACTCTGATCGGCTGGCACACACACTCGCACGAACACACACTCCTGTCTGACTTTTTGACTTTCTACTCAGTTGCATTATCACCTCTACATCTCTGCTCTTTCGTTACCCTCTCTGTCAGCACGGAGGCGCCGCCTTCCCACAAGCTATCTCCTCAGATAACGCAGGATGTTTCCCAAATTTAAATCAACATGTACAAAACAAGCTGTTGTCATGCTGCTATATTTATGATGAAATCAGACAGACAGACGGAGAAATTTGATGTTTGTTGACAAACAGCTTAAACCGGGTCAAACTAAACTCCTCCCATTAGCCAGTCAGAATGTATGGACAATCAGTCACACTGCGATGCTGTCGAACCAAACAGTTTGTCTCTGAGGACAATCAGCCACATCTTTACCTTTGATAAGCCAGATTGTAAAACATTCAAAAACACAAACATTTTTTATTATTATTTCTCTATTCAGCCACTTCCTGTTCTTTCCGCTCCTGTTGTTTCCACACATACACACATGAACAACCACAACGTACGAACTCAACCAGCCCACCAAGAGGTGGGCCCTCGATGCCTTGGTTTCTTTATGTGCCTCTTCATTCTACCACACTAACAGTCCTAACAGAAACAAAAACAACAAAAAAAAGATAGAAATAATTAGATTTTATTTCAGTTTGCTGTTTATCTGAACTATTTTTTTTCTTTTGTTTTGAATCTCAAAAGGCCATTGAATTGTTGGGACGCTTGTTTCCATGGGAAACTGAGTTTTTGACACTTTAGTTAGCATCCTCTCTCTCTCTCTCTCTCTCTCTCTCTCTCTCTCTCTCTCTCTCTCTCCTGTTTCCTCCATTAACTCCAGCTATTCCACTGCTGAGGTAATTTCCTCTAATTCTAGTACTTCCGAACTCAGCAGCCAATAAGAAGCCGTGGAACACCTTTTGGCAGCCAGTAGGATCTAAACAGCCAACTTTTTTTTTCCAGTGTGTCCGAACACTATAGAGCACAGGAAGCTAATGGCAGCTTAACAAACACACTCTGGCAGCGAGGGAACACATATTTACACCTTTGGAAACAAAAAGAAAAAAAAAGGGGGCCTACCACTAACAGCCAGGGCACAAATATGTGGACTATGAATACTAACAAGCACTACCAGAGTACTATATTACAGCTGTGACAGCTGTGCTCAAACGAGCTTTTAGGCAAAGATTATGCATCATTCATCTTTTTATCCATTCAACTCACTTCACTGCAGCAGAACTCCACCAGAGATCCATTATAGTCTGCAGAGAACAAAGAGACTGAAAACACTGCCAGCTCGCGCTACAGTCACCATCCAGGCCGCTGTTTACACGGGTGCTACACTAAATCCAGGCCTGGGTGTCATGAGAACATCATGTATACGTATATATATTACACAGTACTCGGCTGGTTTTCAGAAAATCTCTCTAAAGCACTAACCATCCTCATCCTGTTCAGTAACAGCGGATGCTCTGCGAGGACCTTCAGGTGTTTCTCATGCTAGATGGTACACAGAGGATGGTGCTCCATATGCATCTTGTGGACAGATTTGTTTTTTTGGAGAGCCGGTGACCAGGCTTTGCTTATGTACACAACAGAGAGATACCTGCCGTTAGGTCAATAGAAGGTGCACGGACCAGAGAGCAGACACATGACTGGAGAAAGTGTCTGCACGTTTACAGAAGTTTTAGGGAGGCTCTTAAGGTCCAAGTAATGCGACTAAGGGGTGCTTCTGTGGCTCAGGTGGCTTCAGATCTAAATGTAATTCACTCATGTGAGAAATGAGTTTTTCACATCATAAATAAATGAAAACAAACAAACTCTAGGGGCAGACTGGCCCTCAGAGCCTCTTTTCTTTCTTCAGTCATCTGTCCGTCTGCTGTACTGGTCCTGATCCTTGACTAAAGGCCATAACATCTGTTTCCACACTGTGTACTAACTCTGTTGATAGCCGTACAGAGAATGAAAGACAAAAACATTATTGCTGTGCATGAGAAAGAAAAAGCATTCTTCCAGCATTGAAAGGCCTCGTTACGTGGCTCTGTGCACAGCCATACAATCACCAACCACCTCTGAACTGTCCCGTCAGTGCAGGACACCACGTCACCCTTCCATCATACATGCTTCGGTGTGATTGGCCGCCGCTGCTGTCAGTCAGTCCAGCTGGCTGTGTGATTGGCCACCGCCGGGTCCGTTCGCCCGGACCTGGTTTCCTGTGTAGATAAAGAATGTAAATATGCTCTATATTCTACTTAGCGACAATTTTATTTTCCACATCTATATAGAACTCTAGAGATAATTAATTCTGATGACTGCGGTACTAGACCTGTCCGACGACGCCATACGACGACTGTACGAGTGCACAAATGAGAGCTTTGTATATTTTCATTCTCTCACTCCACTGCTTTGCTGTGTGTAATCTCACAATTAACCCCACGCGACCTTCTCTCCCCTCCTCTGACCATCACCGCAGAGTTATTTACTTCTCTTTAGTTGCAGCACGCTGTCAGGCTAGTGGCTGGGCACTAACGCTGTCCTGTTCAGGTGTCCCGGGTTGGCTTGTCGTTGCACAGCTGTCTGGGTTTTTTTTTTGAAGACTGAGGAGACTATGCAGAGAAGTGCATTCTGGAAAGTGCAGTGTTAGTTCCCCTCCTCCTCCTCCTCCTCTTCCTCCAAAGTTTGATGCACGAAGAAGCACTGACAGCACACACCCACAAAAAGAGGAAATTACAATCACAGTCTCAGAAACATGAGTGAAAGCGGAGTCTGACCAATCCAGTTTGCCTGTTTGGGTTCGTGTGTGTTTTTGATGTAATGCAAGGAGCTGTACATGAAGAACAGATCTGTCCAGTTTACCAGCCCCACTGCCACGCCTGCAGTGCTCCTCTGTCTCTGTAGGGGTCTCTGTTCTCCTGTCTGCCTGCCCTCATGGTTGTATGGACTGTTAAAAACAAAAAAAAACAAAGGAGCCATTTTCTATTGTTCACACTTCTCTCTCTCTCTCTCTCTTTTCTCTCTTTTCTCTTGCAACTCACTCTGTACTCCAGTCTGTCACATCCTCTCTCTCTCTCTCTCTCTCTCTCTCTCTCTCTCTCTCTCTCCTCTGGTATCTGTATCCTCTCTCTACCTTTGGTCAATAAAGCTGAGTTTCTCCAGTGCCCCCCTGCTGTCTCTTGCTTGTTGTTCTTTCCATCTGTCTCTAACTTTCACTTTTTCACTGGCTGCTGACAAAGACATCACGAGCTATCCTCACCGCACCCAGCTGTTATAATACCCACCGCCACTAACGAGCACGCACACTCTGTTTTCAGCACAACGACAGGCGGGAGGCCGTTCGTTCCCAAGATTCAAAAACATTACAGTGATTAAGAGCAAAAATGTACGTCAGGTAAGGTGATCGATCACTGCGAGGGAGAGGAAAGAGTCAATGATTTAACCCCGTCAAGCCAACAAACAAACTAAACCAAGACAAAAAACTCCTACTTATGCTAAGATAGAAATTACAGCCAAGTTGCACAACCAGCTCTATGATTCACTGACATCCTTCTCACTGAGTAAATGTCAGAATATTTTATGCATGATATTACAAAGCTTGAAAATGAGGAAAGTAAAGCATTATTTGAGTGCTAAACGAAATGCATCAAAGCGTACTTCCTAAATTTTACATTTTTATACGCAAGGAAATGTGACAGTGGCCGAACTGATCATGCAGATGTGCTGCTGAGTAACTTAAATGTTTATTCCTGCAAGAAATGTAAAGACGAGCACACGTTACAGGATGCATGTGCAGAGATGTGGATGCAGGGTGTTTTTATGTGAGCTCCTGCAGCATGACATGAGAAATGGTTCTAATATTGCCTCAACAGTCCTGCAGGGACTCGTCCTGCTTGCTTAGTATCTAATGAGTTTATACACTGCAAGAGCTAATGAATCATTAAGACCAGCGGTGGACGAGGTATTTAGATTTTGAGTACTATCACTGTAGAAATACTACATTACAAGGTAAAATGTTGAGGGAAATATGAGTTTATTGAAAGTGTCAATAGTAAAAGCATTCAAAGGAGAAAAAAACATTAACTGCAAGTGTTAAACTATTATATATTCAATTATTATTAATGTATAAGAAGCATTTCAGTTCTACTAAACTGTTGTGACGATGGAGCCTGTTTTTTACCACTTAATGTTCTTCTGCTACCAATAATAATTTTTCCTCATACACATGAATTATTCTTCTGATTTCCTCATTTACTGACTGACCATTTGGTTAAAATAAAATAGTGACAAACACCAACCATCACAGACACAACACTTGTTCTCTATCCAATATTCCAAACCTCAAAATTTCAGTTATAACAAATGAAAGTTCAGCTCTGCTTTTATTTTGTTCAGTTTAATCTGTAACCAAGCATCAGATTTCACAAGTTGAGCAAATGTTTGTTGCGTTCCACCGCCGGGTGTAACCGCAGGACGGTGAGGATGGCAGGTATTTAAGGTGGTAGATAGACATGTAGGACGGAGGTAAAGAAAGCAGGAAGAAAGGATAGACATCAAGGAAAGTAGGAAGAGACGGTAGAGTGTAAGAACCACAATGAGACAGGTACATGTGCTTGGATCACTTTACATTGATCTAGTTTTGCAGGAGTTATGAGGTGGCCCTCAGTGTAAATACCACTAACAGAGGCTTCCACACGTCTGACTCACTAACAGCTCTGCAGCAGTGGACAAAGAGGATGAAAAAAGACTCGCTGAGGTAAAGAAAAGATCACACTGAACACACCGGTACGCTTGTTCATTCAAAAGCAGGAACACGGAGGTGAACAGACTGGAGCAGAACATTTGTAGAAACCGTGTTGCAAAGATTCCTTTCGTACACAGCAGCCGTCCTTCCTTTGATAGCGCCCGTCTGTCTTGGATGACGAACTGTTATTGAATCAAACACATGATCCGGGGCGGGCAGCTACAAAAACACGACCCGCTTTCCCAGAACACATAATACAAGGTGATAGATGATTATATTAGAGACGTCATGACGACCGGCATCTGGAAGCGGCGCTCAGGCCACATACACACTCTGTTGCTCCCTCAGAGCTCAGGATGGGTGTGTAGTCTGTGACGATAAACTCTAATTGGCTTATCATTAGCCGCAGAAACCATGACCGCAGATAATTGTTGCACACTGAGACGTAAAAAGGCACACACAGGACAGGAAGAGGATGAATGTGCCAGGAGTTATTTAACGATAAGGATGCATCATGACAGTGTGACTGGATGCAACTCATGAATTCAGGGTTCAAAGCAGAGATGAAGCTGCAGATGTTTAAAGGTATAAAATGAAGAGTTAATAGGCGAAAGTCAAGTGCATGATTAGATGTGCAATAATCCTGGATTCTGACAGAAATTGTGCAAAAAGAGAGCAAAGTCTCTGTTCCTAGTCTCATGGGAATACTGCTGATGCTACTAATGCTGCTGCTGCATGCTGCTGCTTTTACTAACACCACTGCTGCTGCTATTCTCACTACTGATGGTCTTCTATTTTATTTGTACTCAGGTGGAAATGTAGAAGATTTTTTTATTTGTTGGGAGCTATCAGTTTTATAAGTCGAAGTTTAAAAGTGTGGTATTGCACTGATGAACAGTTTAAGCATCATTTTAATGCTGCCAAGTTTCACCTATAAGATTTTAGAGCATAATAACAGGTCAGCACTGTTATATTATATCAGCTAATCTGAGCTCTTGTGTGTAAAATCTGCAAAGAAATCACAGCTGAGTGTTGAGTTAGCGTCATTAGCTTTTCATAGCATCAGATTTGCACATGGAAGACAAACAGATCTTCGTTTTGCAGGATTCCATCCCGCTGAAGCTCATGAAGATCCTTTAATAAAGCCGAAAACAGTCTCGTATAGCCAGACCCATCACGGTGCCGTATATTTTATAGACCTTATGATCTCATACCGGGGAAGCAAAATCTGCAAAGTCACTGCAGCTTATGTAAAATATACTCGAGTACAAATATTTCCCTGTGAAATGTAGTTTATGTTGATGCACTAATGGAAAGCCAAGTATAAATACTGTAAATGTAGGTGCTGTGTTTAACTGCTACGACTGTAACTGTCACAACTCCTGTCGCTGTAGTTGTGACAGCAGCAGTAGTAGTAGTAGTAATAATAGTAGTAGTAGTAGTAATTAAAGCAGTAGTGGTAGTACCTGCGCCGTCGTAGATCAGCAGAGGTAGTAGTAGTAACATTAGAAATCTGTTTTGACAGCAGCGTCTCTCGCAGCAGCGTCGTTCCCTCAGTTCGGCGAGCGTGGGTGTCAGGAGGTTGAGGATGATAAGATATGAAATCAGAAGAACTCCTCGAGGTGGAAGTGGGCCACTGAATCAGCAAAGGAGAGATAAAGTAGAGCCAGAGGCTGCGCCGAAGACCACAGATTTATCGTCTGTGTGCTGCCAGCGCAGATAAAAAATTATGATCACTGCCTGATTGACACAATTATCGATGTACGGACCTGTTATTGTTACAGTAATTACAGGTCAGATGCATGTTTGCATCATTTGCTTATTACAGTATGAGATGTGCATGTAGAAGACAGACAGACTTTCATCTTGACATTTGCAGGACCATGTATTCGATCATGTCGGTGCTTAAGAAACTCATTTTAAATACAGATAACAGCCCACAAGAGGCTCATTTCCCTTTTTCATTTAAAAAAAACATCATATATGGATATACAGAATGACATGTTCTGAAGAAGTCGGAACGATGGACAGATTACAGTTAAATGAGGAAATGAATGTGTTTAGAGATTAGATTTAATAAAGAATGAATCTGAGCGCCGAATCAGCAACACAGATTTATAGTAACTCAAAGGAACAGCGTCACCATCGACGTGAAACACATCCAGCCTCAAGGAAGATGACAGAGGTAACTATTATTCATTTTTCTGTTTTCTTTTATTTTTTATCACAGGCTACATCCAAACACCAGGGGTTACCATGACAACAGCAAATGGCTATCAGGCTCCCGCTCCATCCAGACATCCTCACACCGCCATGGTGAGTACCGTGTGTCTGGGGGGGCAATAAAAATGAATTCAAAAGTTCTAGCTGGGAACCGGGCGAGTATTGCCACAAGATATCCCTCACAGAATATATTCAAACAGTTGGTTTAACATCTAAAGAGTGAGCGACTACACCAGGCGGAAAACCTTTCATTATGTGGTTGTGACTGTTTTTTTTCACCTTTAGCTGAAGGATTACAGGCTTCCGAGCAGCAACATCCATTATTCATTATTTTTGGCTGCCATTCACTTAAAGTGGTTCATTTGTGTGTGTTTGTGTCAGACTTTGATTTATTTATTTTAAAAAAATGTTCTGTTACCTCAATGGGGAAAAGTAGAGTTGAGAAAAGATGTGACGAAGCGCAGATGGAGATAAGTGCAGTGCTGTGTCGGAACAGCCAGTTCCAAAGAGGAGCGTTCACACTCCAAACAGCAGTAATTTAATAAAAGGTTCGTGGGAGCATCTATAGCAGCGTGCAGACTGTGTTTTTCCAGATGATAACTGTGAGTTTCTCTCAGCCGGAAAAACCCTCTGCCATGTGGGGTTCTGCTGCAATAATACAGAACATTCAGGCTGCTAATGTGAAAGCGTATTTATAGATATACATCAGCTCCAGACCCATCAGCCACGACGCGAGGCTTTGACCCTTCAAGCTCTCCAGATCCCCTCAGAGATACCGTGCCCTTGTCCTGGAAGGTGGTGGCTTCTTTGGCTGATAGGTGTATTTGCAGGCAACACAATTTAAAGGGAACATCAGGAACCTAAAGTATAATGATTTCCCAAACTAAACTAATTGATGACCTCTACTTCAGAGTTTTTTTTCTCTTTAAGGCAGTAATGAATTCAAGCTGCTTGTTTGAAGTGAGATAATCCATCTGGAGGCTTGTGCACAGTCTTCTCTGTGTGCTTTCATATAGACTGTGCTGAACCAGACATCTGCTCAGGGGGCATGTTTGGAATGCAAGTCAGTCGCATTGTTCCCCTTCTACAGGTGCACCACTGTCTCCATGCTGCTGCTGCTCGTGTGCCCTTCACGGCGTTTCCATCACATTTCTGCTCAGTTGTCTGCAGAATCTGTTTTTATCATCATTACAGTGTTTATAAAGAAACCTTCTGATGAAATAGTACATTTGTGGCGATCCCAGAGTACTTTTGGAGCAATTTTATGCACAAATAATGTATATATTTATATATTAAAGCAAATGAGGAGCAGCTAACATGACGCCTGGTCTCCTCAGAAGCATGGTGCTGTGATAATGCACCACAAATGATGGATCCAGTGGAAACATACAGTAACACAGGCATTTCACTATACATGTAGAATTACAAACCAAAGCAGATCATATATGTCCACAAGGGTACACTTGAAGTAAATTGCATCATCCACTGAAGTCCACAAGAGTCCTCAAGTCCAAACTGTTCCCACTGCCTACACCAGGAAAACAAATGTTCCCCGAGAGGCTGTGCAGTCAGAGTCTCAATCATCCACACGTCTATAATTCATCACCCAACGAGCTGTAGCTGAAGCACCTTCTGCTGGACGTAGGAGGTGTTTTGATTTGTAGACGTTTGCCTTCTACGGAGCCTCTACATTCTCCAGAAACCCTGGGCTGCATCCTCCACATGGAGCTGCTGCCCGATCTGGAACCAGCTGCCAAAACCTGTAGAAAATGCAAAGTCACCGGCTGCCTTTCAGGAGCACAACAGCAGCCCAGTGGTTTATCTGTGTGAGGGGCGACCGTTTGTTGATGAATGCAAACCTATTGTGGTGTGAACAGGATCACATGCATGTACGCTGCCTGCTTGACACGACTCAGCCCTCAGAACCTCGTTAGCAGCACTAAAACAGACGCTTGTTTCATCATAGAAACAGTTGTGACTGAAGCCGTCGCTGCTGGACTTTAGAGATGCTTTTCAATCGTACACGCTCCAACACGTTGGAGAGCTCTCCAGAGATCCTGTGCACTGTTTCAGGAATAATCAGATTACTGCAGCGCCACAGTAACCAGCTGCTGTATCCTGTAAAATCACAGCCAGACTTCAGAAACAGACACTGGAGCCTCTCGTTTTTCTGTGTTCGATGTCAAGGACGATGCAAACACGACGTGTCCCTGCTGTTGTGCGTGTTCGCTGTCTGTGCACACGGAAAGCATGGATCAGCCCTTACAGCCTATCCACATAATGGATTATGTCAAGGTTCAAGGTTACTCTATTAGTAGATTTGTTTTGCAGAAAACAAATGATAGCATTTAGCATCCATAACAGAATACACATTGAACCTGACAGGCAGCCTCTTGATCGAGTGACAAGAAAGACAAAAAGACAAAAAAGTGCTCCATCATTCATCGATATAACAGCAGGAAGAAAAAAGATAAATAAAAATAAAACACAATAAAAAAGAAAAACCTATGGGGAATCATGGCTGTGAAACATCTCAGCCCGAGCTTGTTATAGATAATAACACTTGACTATGGAGCTACAAAATCAAAGCAGTACTTGGGTACAGGAAGACACGGGCTGTCTTGTAGATTTAAATAAAACCTTTCACCCCGATGACATCATTAGGGTCACTTTCTGACATGTGCTGGAGTTGCACCAAGTGGCACAACTGGATTATTAAAGAAACACCTATTGAGGACATATTTCCAGCACTGGCTGTTCTGGACTGTTCCCAGTTTGTTTTGTTCCCCCACCAGCAGCACCACCTAAAATGCCACCTGAGCACATTTGAGTCGGGCAGGAGGTGTGGAGACAGAGCGGAGGGAGGGAGGGATGGATGGATGGATGGATGGATGGATGACCGGCTGGATGGCTGCGGGGCTGCAGTCAGATTGTTTTGCGGGCTGAATAAATGAATGAAAGGCAGCACTGGCGGTAACCTGATCCGCACGGGTCGGCCTCATTGTGCTCGGCTGCGGCTCGCTCTCTGATTGTCTCTGGAACGGGACAGAAAACACTGCCGGGACCTCGCGAGCCCTGCATTATTCAGCGCGCGTGCCTCGAGAGTGAAAAAAAGAGAGAGAGAAGAAGAAGAGTGGAGGGAGAGAGGAGAAGAAGAAAAAAGAAGAAGAAGGAGGAGGAGAAGGAGAAGGAGGAGGAGGGAGCCGCCGGTTGGAAAAGCTGGCGCGTAAAAAAAGAAGAAGAAGAAGAAAGAGCTCAATGTCACCCCAGTCGGAGGCGGCTGCCGTTACCGTTACCGTTACCGCCGCTGCGGGGAGCGCGTGAAGATCCGCGACTTGTTCCATTCAGCGTCCCGGTGGTGCAGCGGCGGCTTCACCTGGCGGAGGACAAGACAAAGGAGGAAACAAAGCGGGGAAACAAGAGCAAGAAGAAGGAGGAAGAAGTAGCGGTCAGCAGATCGGTTCCGCCTCCGCCGTCATAAACTAATCCCCCCGCCGCTATTAGCCGCTAATTAGCCGCTCGTAAGGAGCTCCGGGAAGCTACACGTCCGTCCGCAGAGCAGGTAATTCAGACACACGTAGATCTGGAAATGAGCTTCAACTTTAAGGAGGAGAACTAAAAAAAAAAGAAGGGAGTGAAAGTGTAATGTTAGCTTAAGTGACACAGCGGGGGGTCCTCCAGCTTCATCTGCAAGGTGGTGTATCTGTGTGTGTGTGTGTGTGTGTTGTTCCGTGGCTAATAGAAACACAGCCTGTAATTACACTGATTGGCTTTAAAGTGGGGACGACACAGGATCCTGCACCCACAGAGACAGAGAGACACCCAAAGGAGGTCAGTGGACCAGCCCGCCCGCTGCAGCAGCCTCTCGCCTCTTTGTGCTCCTCCTCTGCATCACTTTAACCCACATACAGGAGTGACCTTAACCTGCTTCCCCTCATCATCCACATGCTGCTGGATGACTTGGCAGAGTTGTGCTGCTGCAGCTGCTCATCTTGAGCCGTAGTAACGTCCTTGGTCTGATCTGTTTGTCTCCCGCTGGCTCATTATGCAGAGCTTAATTAGCAGTATTAGTGATGTGCAGCCTGAGAGGAAGGGTCCACAGCTTCTGCCCCACCCCAGCCCAAAAGAGCATCAGCTGCACGTGCTCCACAAAGGTTAGCAGCAGAGAGGTGCTGGTGGTCGGATATGAACCCATGCTCACTGCAAACAGCACAAAGACAGGCTGCATTTATTTGCTAAAGACTTTCACAGGGTAAATTTCTCATTTTTTTCTCTTTGCTCATAGCTGTTGCCAAGCAACTTGCAGGTTTTGATGGCAGACAGTGTCCATGCTCACCAGGGGATGCACATTACTGGATTTAATTGACTGATGAGTGTTTTTCTGACCAAATCCATTGTGAGGACGTATGATGGTTTGTTAATGCTAACAATGCTTACAAATATTCCATTTAAATGGCTCCCGTATCATCCTCCTGTTAAGACTTGCAGAAAACACACAACTTACCTTGACCCAGTTTCCTCGCCGCCGTCAGTCCATTGATTTTGCTTCACAGCAGAGTCGGTGACATTTTGCCTGCAGGCGGCTGACCAGCGCGGCGCCGACGGGACGGCGTTGGCTTCAAAAGCACTTCTCACTGCAAAGCTCTGCAAAGAGATGTGCTCATTTAGAGTTATTCTTGCAGCTTTTATTTGTTTTGCACCCAGCTTGCACCGCAGAGCCCTTAAGACGAGCAAACACAGCCACACGGCGAGAGAAAGAACAGAAAACATCAAAGCAGTGTGAGAATAACGTTCCTTCAGGCAGGTGTGCATCATTCATGGTTTGACGCTCCGGGAATCAGAACTTAGCAAGAATTTATTCCCACCTAGTTTAAAAAAAACATCAAAAATTGGCTGTTATTGCAGCAGGTGAGGTAGGCTGCTGAAATACTGCCACGAGGAAAAGACTCTGAGCTGTTTACGCTCCACGATTACATAAATAAATAAGAAGTGCAACATGTTCAGAATAAACTTAAATTAACCTTTAAAGTCAGCAGTGCATTGTGGGTACTAAACTACACACAGTAGCATTACCTCACTCTGGTTTGGCCACA